CTTAAAAGGGTTTCCTTCCAGCAAGACTACCTGGTTGAATAGTTTGAGCAAAGCTCTGGTTAGCTGTGAGCAGCAAGGCTTTCATGGCCACAATGGATGTCCTGCAGCCCCAAAGGATCCCAAGGCTCACAGGATGACCAGGATGCCCTGGGAAGGCCTGTGGCATTGGGAGAGGGATGCTGAGTTTTCCACTTGAGGGCACTGCAGGAGAAGTGAATAGTAATGGCCAGGCTTTGAGAGCTGGGAGGAAAAGAGCATTTTGTGCAGGAAAGCATGGAGCCAGTTAGGAAACAAGGACAGAAGCAGGATTGGCACATCATGGAAAGGCTGACAAGGGAGAAGAGGCTTGGAGACATCGGAGCTACAGGTCTCTCTGTACAAACCAAAATGTAATCTTTTTTTAGCATGGTATTTCATTATTCTACTGAGAATAATAGCAACCATGCGAACACTGGGGCATTTTAGGTCAGTGGAGCATTTTCTTCACTATTTTAATATGATCTCTTACCAGCCCAGGTTTGTTATTAGATACAATGATTAGGTCTAGAAATAGTAACCCTTCCATCTCTCCCCAACAGACATAAAAATAAATAAATAAAAATAGAGTAAAAGCAAATTATAGCTTAGACCAGAAAGAAAAGAAAAAAATAGGGATACTCTGTTTTTCCTGCATTCTTTATTGTATTACTTCTAGACCTATATTGGAAAACACAAAAGGTGAAACTATGATCTGACTGAAATTTATGGTAAAAGTTTACTCCTCATGAGATTTTCAATTAAACATCTAGTTAAAGGGGCCAGCACATGGCCTCCTTATACAGTCAGTTAAGGAAAAAAAAAAATTGAAATATTTATATATTTTCCCTAATTCTTTCAGGTTTGTATAAGGACAGAGAAAGAATGGCTGGAACTCCAAATAGTGTTTTTCATAGGACTAGATAAATATGCCTAAAAGAGAAGGGATTTAAAGAACAATGAGAAAGAGCTAGTAATATTCCTCCGTTTCACTCACAGGGCTCAGAAGGCAATTAAAAATAAAAAAATGCACTTGCTCTTCTGTAATCCATAAAAACTCCTACTAAGATACTAAGACAAAACAACTAATTACCTTCTCAAGATCAGCCAGGAAATAAAAGCTTTGAAGTGTCCTTAGCAAATCAGACATAGAGAATATATACTCCCACCTCAAGCTCACCTTGCTTGATTTTTGCCTGAAGTGCCTGCTGAGAACAGGACAGAGCAAAGAAATAGATGAACACCCACTACTGAGGAAAGGGCAGTTGTGATGGCTTAGTCACACTCTTCAGTCATCTTACAGCAAGTGAAAACAAGATTAGTGGTGTCTCTATTCAGAGTATCTTTGGAAATCTGACTGCAACATTAAACAAACTTGAAGTAGGTTAAATGTGGGAAGCTTGTTGCTTTAATGAAGCCCCATGGATCAAGCAGGGAACTAAATGTGTGGCGATATTCCCAGCAACGCTCTGATGGGAATCCTGGGAGATACAAAAATGAATTACTGACATTTGAATAATTTGGTTAATTTAATTTTGCTCCATATGGGTAACTTAATTTTACTTGTTTGGGAAAATCATAGCTCTAAAACAGAAAAGATGAGGATTGCACTGTTAGAGTTTATATATAACAATATCACAGGCTTAATTCACCGTGTTGAGTTTTATTTAAATTAGTGCCATGGCCTCTGGCAGGAACACACTGAAATTGGCTCAAAGCCTAAACTAGTAACTGTCTTATTAAAGTAAAACAAGTCTAAATGAATGGAACAAAGTTGATAGCAGATGGAAAGCTATATCAGCCTAGGTGAAGTAAAAATAGCCACTAAATTGGTGTTAGGTATATAGTCTGAAAGACTGCAGAACTAGGGCAGATCATCGGCTCCTTTTTTTCCAGTAGAAATATTTGTAGTCCTTTCTAGCAGACATTTTACCTGCTGATGTGCTGCAGAGTTGCAAGAAGACACTGAGATGGTAATAATTATAATGTGAATAAACATAGGCAATAACTGTTTTAATTTCTTTTGTGAAGGTTGTGAAGGATCGTAACAGTGCAGCTCTTCTGCTCAGAAAGTGGATTGAAGACATATAGAAATTACATAGAGCAACACTAAGGTGAGATATAGGAGGCATTTTGGCATTGGATGCACTGAAGTGAAGACCATAGTTATACAGGAAAATGGGGTTACTCAAGTTGAAATTTAGCTCATACACCACAGTGCTCATAGTCTTCCTGCAGAGTAAGTGACCGACGATCTATAAGAAGAACTTCAACAGGTTATAACTTATGTCTCAGCTAACATATAGGACATTAAACATCTTTCCTTGGTGGGGAAGGAAACACAACCTAGAGCAGTGAATAGGCTTGGTTGATGATCATGGTTTCATACTATGGATGAGACCTTCAATTTGCCTGCAAGGAGGAAGGTACCTACTGGTGTCTGTGCTCTGCTCGGAAGCTCCAGCCCAAGGAAAGCATGATGAATTATGTGGAAATCAAGATAACATAAAGGTGAAGCAGAGGGATAAGGGAGAAGTAGCTAGGATAAGCTGGTAAACAAGTATAAAGGAAAATTATTTGAGTGTGAAAGGAGTAAAGGAGCTACCAAAATAAAGCCATAGTCTTTTTGCTTCTTAGGAAGTTAGTAGATGACCACCTTCCTCTCTAATTACTGCTAGTCAGCTAGGTTTAATTAACCTGAAGTTGGTTCAGGTTTAGCCAGGCAACCAGAAGCTGTCTTGTTTGGTAGTTGATGTCTCCCTCTCAAATTAAGACAGGCATAATTTGCAAGATGATTCAGAGTGAGCTGGGCCTGTTTAGCCTGGAGAAGATTGAGAGGGGATCTTGTCAATATGTACAAATACCCAAGGGGAGAACGTAAAGAGGATGGGGCCAAACTCTTCTCAGTGGCGGCCAGTGACAGGACAAGGGATAATGGCAAATACAGGAAGTTCCACCTCCACGAGAGGAAGAACTTCTTTCCTGTGGGAGCAACAGAGCCCTGGAACAGGCTGCCTGGAGAGGGTGTGGAGTCTCCTTCCCTGGAGATCTTCCAAACCCACCTGGATGTGACCCTGTGCCATGTGCTCTAGGTGACCCTGCCCAAGCAGGGGGTTGGACTGGATGATCTCTAGAGGTCCCTTCCAATCTCAACCATTCTGTCTGCGCCCCATGCGAGTGTCCAGGTGAGGACCAAAGATCCACCTAAACTTAACTGAATCAGTATGGTGATTTAGTATCAAGACCTCAGGATATCATATACGTTACTAAGAAACTACAGCTGCTGATCCTTGCTCACAGTTTTCTTTGGGCTGCATTGACTAAAATGGGCATTTAGAAGTCTACATGCAGACATCAAATACAGAAGTCTTAACATAGAGCTAAATTCTACCCTTGCATATCCCAGGAATGTCTAAATGGATGTTATCAACTCCTTCAAATAAGTACACACCCATTAGATCTTTGCTGTTTTTTTTTTTTTTTCCAAGAGGTAGGAGCTATTTCTTACCATGCATACGTGATCAGAACCATGGCTGTGGCAAGGACACTGCTCCAGTATCCCCAACAGAGAGACAGAGACCACGCTAGGCCTGGTCCAACAGCCAAGGCAGCTGCATGTCTGCACAACCGTGCTTATGACCTGCTTGCAGAGAAGAGATCACTCCTGGGGACGGCCTGTTCTCCCGGGGGATGCTGCTAAACAGCACCTAGCAATGATGCTGGGTGCAATTAAGTACTTTCTTCTATGTGTACTTTGTTCTAATACTTCCATGTGAAACAAGGAAGTACTTATGGGTTGTTACTACACAAACCTCTCGCATATGAATGCTTTCTCAGCTGTCACTGCAGGGAAATAACCATACCATCCTCATTAGAGTGCTTCAAAAATAACTGTGGGAAAGAGGTAAGAGAGAGAGCATCATTAAAAACAAAACAAAATGAAAACACAAACAACCAACCTTCTTTGTGCTCCCAAGCCAAAATTCTAGATCACTTAACTGTTCCACCTCCACCATTACTTTTCAGGGTACACTTCATCTAAACCTAATATTATTTAGATCAGCCAGTCTCCCAGGCAAACTTTTACCCTAAAAATTCTCTCTTTTAAATTACTCCTCACAAATTATTCCTCTCCTCCTGTCACTAAAACATTGCATGTTTTTTAGACAGGTCAGAGATTAGGATGAGGTGCACTGAGCAAACCACAGAACGGAGCCTCAGATTTTAACTGCTACTTCCAGAATCTGCAGACCATATTGTCTTACTGCAGCTTTTAGCTGATAAAAGTTTAAAGAACAACTTCAGAAAAAAATATTTTGGAACATACAACGTTTATTTACTTACTACAGAAAAATTATATTACAATATATACAGTTTCTATTTACATATAGACCTTTCTGTTATATGAAGCACCATATGATACAATTACTAGAGAAATTTACATAATTCTTATTTTTGCCACCTAACATTTATATCTGCAGAAACACATTGGTTAGAACCAAGTCCCCTGGAGTCATTGACTTTGGTGGTTTTTGCCTAGGCTGTTAGTGAAGCTGCCAAAGAGTAATTTAATTGCAGTCAACTATCAATCTCCTATACTTCAGGAAAAGAGATCTTAATTTTGTCATGTTAGGAGCTTTGTGCAAACTGAATCCTTGGAGAAAGTCAGATCTACAGGTAGAAATATTTTATATAGAATTCAACACTTTAATCAGTAAGATTCTTACCATCATCAGAGACAGAATTTCAACAGAATAGAAAATGAACACTGCATAAATATTTGTACATATCGTGCAAACTAAGGTTAAGAATTCAGAAGCTGATGTGATGATACAGTGCCATGCTCCCCAAGGAATCCATTTGCTACAAAAGAGCCCAGTCTTGTGACCACTGAAGCTAGTGGCATAATTCCCATAACTCATGGAGAGGGACTAGCTGTTCATTTAATGAGCTTTACACCACTGTCAACAAAACAATACCAAAACATAGAAGGCTCTGTCCAAGGTACAAAATTTTCTTCACGTGAAAAAACTATTTTTAGAGCAGAGAAGAGTGTAAAATGAGGTATTTAATAAACTATGGGAAAAAAAAAGGTGTCTAGATTGTTTGGAAAAAAAACATCCTAGATATTTTAAATATGCACTTACATTCACCTGATTGTGGGTCAAGTTTTACATAAAATATTTATACCTTTTGAGCCACCTAATTAAAGCATTAAAGCATTTCATATTTTTACTTCACTAGATGCTAGCTCCAATGGCTGGAAGAAAGCGTTGTTGCTCTGAGGACAGTTACTATGACAAACACAGGTGTTGATCAACATCATTGGTTTTTTTACGACCTTGCCATGAGGACAGCGGAACTCGACCTGGATCGTTTTGGTGTTATGTGGGGTGCAGCATCGCCCGTCATTGCAGAGGCCACAGTAACGTGGTTTGTACATCTGCACGCTTGTGCAGTTCTTGTACTCAAAGCGAACGGCTTCCAGGGACTTCTTCGTTCGGATACATTTCTTCCCCTTCTAAGAGAAATATGAAGAGACATTAAGTATATCATAGCATAAGGCAGGATGCAGGTAAAAACTCACATGCAAGGTGTAGGTCCACTCTGAAAACTGCTAGTTCTACAGCAATAAGAGTCCATAGCTACTTCAATAGCTACTCACCAGTTCTCATTCCTATGAGCTATGCTCTTGACATCTTAGCTGACCTACTACATATACCAATAACAAATGATAAATAATAGGTTACACTCTATGAAAACTCACTGCTGCCATCTGTCTATATGATAAGACCTGCCAACATTCATCATCAAACTATACTCCACCAAAAAAATGTCCCAGGCTTTGTGGTTCCATCAGAGAATTAAGAAGCCAAATAAGTAAGATACAGACTGTGTTCAGGAAGAAAAGAGGGTCAAAAAGAACCCCAAAAGTCATTGCCCCTTCTTGTCACTCAAGGCAGGATGAACCTTGCCTATGTCATCATTAGCATATGGTTTGTCTAACTTGTTCTTGGAAGTCTCCAGTGACAGACTCCACATCTGCCCCAAACAATCCTAACAGTTCACTACTCTTATTGCTCTGAAGGTCTTTCCTTATGTCTTAGGATTTATGCAGTCTATGCTCATAACTTCCTGTCACATCCACTATGAACTAAGAACAGTTTACAATATTGGAACATGGTTGTGAGAACTCATCTCTGTTTGCCTGTTTTTAGTATCATTTCAATCCAGCAATAGTTTTTTTCCAAGCAGAACATGTTTTCTGGACCTCACCATTCTTGTTATTCTCCCCAACTCTTTCCAAATGTTTCACATCCTTTTCAACACAGTGTTCAAAACTCCACCGAGTCTTCTGCAAAGGCCTCAGCACGCTTTCCATCACCCTGGACACTGCATACACTGATGGTCCTCTTACATATGTATCTATATGTTATCATCTCTGACAGTGAGAATGTGTAATGCGTAGGAGCAGAAAAAAATAAAAGGCAGCTCTCTTTTAGATATATACTTATAGCACCTGAAGTGTCAGTGTTGCATTTGCTTTTGGAAAAAAAAGCTCCACAAGGATTAAGATAAGGCTCAATTTATCAGAACACTTTTTGAACTATTTTGCACATTTGTCTGCAGTTCCAGGATGCCCAGCAGACTAGAAATATGACACATCCATTCCTCATGACTGGAGCAACTCTGAAGTACTCACGCAAGGAGTAAAATGGTCTTGGGGAAGATGTTAAATTACGTGAGCTGCCAAGACAGTTGGCACACAGAGCACATCTGATCCGTCTGAGATGGGACAAGTGATATTCGTATGAAGTGCAATGCTCCTGGACGTGCAGACAAGCCAAATGCTTTCCAGAAACACTGGGCTTGCTGCACATATGCTAACGGGTGTATTTACATCCACTTGTATTTGGAACACTCCAGACAGAAATATGCAACCTGGGAAAGCTGCTGGGAGAGCTCCTGCTCCCCTGTCCCTAACTGCCATCCTACCTTCTCAGGTGGCTCCTCATTCTCACAAGGTCTCATCATGCAAAGCCGTGTCTGCTTCACCATCTCACACTGCTGATTCCTGTTGGTAACACGGATGGAAAAGCCCATGCCACAGCTCTTGGAGCAAGCACTCCATTCTGTTGTCTGCTCGATGCAGTTGGCACTTGAATCGGAAACATCGATCCCCACTGTGGCCTCCTGTCTGAACGCTGGAGATAAAACCCATAGAAGTCTGTTATGAGAGAGACTTGATGTGAGAATCCAGTCTATATTTGAGCTCTTCTACATTTGGGAGGAAATAAATGATCTGAGACAAAAAATCCCAAATCGATTATTTTGACAGGTCCTAGTCATTTTAAAAGTTGCCTTCTTCAAAGCCCTGAACAGCAACTTTCTACACCTAAAAATCCTAGATAAGTACATATCAGTGTAATCAGGAGAATAAAGTCCTACCTTTAGGCCACAACCTGAATTACAGAAAGAAGTTAGTTAGTTTCTGTCCAAGCAAGTCCAAAACGGGCAGAACTATTGCCAATTTGTTAACCAAGTTTAGAAGTCCACTTCAGTAACTTATTATTCCTTATTCTTTTTAAAAAAATGTATCACAAACCTGTTCTGGATCACAAAAAATATTTATATTAGATCTGATTTAAGACTAGCCATGTGATTTCTATAATAGATCAAGTGCTTTGTTTCCAGAGCCACAGTCACCTGATCAAATATTGACAAGTTACAGTCAGGCTGTTATGAGGGAAGAGGAAAGTAAAGCAATTTCAGGAGTTATCACAGCTGCTCAAGGCCATCACCAACTCTGAGTATTGCTCTGGCCTCCCGGTAGTGCTTAAGTTGTATTATGCAAATATTGCCAACTTTATAGCTTGGTACGGCAGTTATCATAGGAGTAAACAACGTGAGTGAATACAACGGAGCCTGTGAACTGAGCCACCCTACGGCTCTCACCCATCAGCTTCCCCCCACTGCACTTTTGCCTCCTTGCAAGGTAAAGCTCCAAGAGAGAGTCCTGGAGGGATGAGCACTGCCGAAAGGAACGCAGGTGATCCACCCACGGGCATGCTGTGGATTAGCCTGCCTCTGTTGTCAAGAACAAAGCAGAGAAAAGACACTATAAAAAGTGACATGTTCACTTATGTCTTATGTGCCCCACATCTGATATTTCATAGCATTCTACAGAGTTATTAGAGCTTATCATCTATTCTATTTTCTTTCTTCAAATGGATTATCTGCAATGCAGCATAACTAACTGCTTAAGACCACACAGAGCAGTGACCGGGAGAGAATGCAGTGGTCTTAACTCCCAGTTAAAGCAGCTTTTGAAAATCCATGTTAACCTGACAGCTTAGTTTAAAGGGAAGGGAGACATAAATCAGTAGAAGGAGATTGGGGAAAATAGTACCTCATAAGTTCTGTGTTTTGGAATGGGATCATTTTTTTTTCAGATCCACTAACTGTGCCTACAAGCACTGCTTCTCCAAGTACTTTGTAATGCTTTTAATGCCAGCAGTAATCATGAGAACTCTAGCACAGACAGAGAGGAATTCATTGGCATTTCAGTTAGCATGCTGACCACTAGTAATAACTGCGGAATTTCACGGAAAAAAAATCTCTTGCAAACCAGGCTGTTTGAACGGTGTTTATGATGCAACCTATTTCTTCAGAGCAACTAGCAAGACAACTTTGCTTCCTGGAGGAAGATAATATTTGGAGGTTTATGAGCTTGTTTTTATCTTATTCCACTAATAGTGGAATCAGATAAATAGCATTTCCAGAGCTGGACCCTAGCTTAATTACTTTTTTAAACTGCTGTGCACATTCATCCCCTGAGTATCTTTTCTTTAGTTTATAAAATTCTGCTTTTACGCATAATCACTGGTATACCCCCCTAGTCACTCTAGATTAGAAAAAGAAAGAAGATTGGAAAAAAAACACAGCACAAAGCAGATTAGGGTAACCCCATGGTCCTTTCCAGTGGGTATCACTCTCCGCTCGCGATGAAGGTCTTACAGATAGTTTCCTCACCGGCCATAGCAAAGCCTCCTAGAATCACATCGTCCTTGGGGTCGCAGACCCACTTCTCGCAGCACTCTCCAGGGACCTCCACTTTCCTGGGGAAGGGGCAGTCAGGGCCGGGGAGCAGCAGGTCGAGGTTGCAGCGGGGCAGGCAGCCAATCTGCCCGTCGCGGCAGGTGCACTGGTACTTGCAGCTGGGCTGGAAGGTCTCCCCGTTCCGGTAGATCATGCCGTCGAACACGCAGTTGTCCCCTTCCAGCACTGGCGAGCAAGGCGGATGTCAGTTAGGGCGCTCTCCCTGCCTCTCATGGCACCAGGGGGCTCTGGCTTTGTCCCCCACCGAAGCTGCCCTCCCAAGCGATGTGGCCCAGCACCCGGCACCCGACAGGCTCCCCATCGGTGGCTCCGCCATCGGGGCAGCCGGAGGGGACTCGGCGGGGCAGTTCACGGGGAGAGGGGAGACGCGGGACCCCGGGGCCTACCCCTGCCGATGCCGCTGGG